AGAAAGAGACGTTACATCAGAGATGAGTGGCGAAACTGAAAGACTACCCGCTTGCAAAATATGTATGTGAGTGCAGTGTCTTACGTCAAAGTTTTAAACTGGAAGTCGGTGAAGGTGCAGTCGTGTAGCAAATGTGGTGCGATGGATGTTGTGGGATGATCTTGGCAAAACCCCTCTGGTATGCAGACAGGGTGGCATAGTAACCTTGGTTTAGATAACATCATTAATGAGATTCTTGGCTAAACTCAAAACAGTTTGAAGAACATACTTTATTATAAAAATGTGCAACTATCCATAGAACTTTATTAGGCAGTATTTTACATTGCAGTCATTGGAGGAGTCCAAGTCTGGTCTTTGCTGTTTTGTCCTTGTTCATTTGTAACAAAACTAGGTAATGCTACTTTATGACTAAATTACATTGCTAGAAAAACAGTAACTTCCATATGATACATTAGTAAATTGTTATTTTCATGAATGTAATATCAAAAGCAAGAGTAATGCTTGCACACCTAAGTAGCTTCGGTAGTCAGAAATGAAAATGTGAAAGTTTTGTTCCATTGTGGAAATCCAAAGGCAATATGTTCAACATTAGAATTTGTTATCTGGAATATTAAACATTAAAATTAAATGGTTGGGTAAAACTGTTTTCCTGTGGTTGTAAATGCACTACTTCGAGTAAGGTTTATTGGCAAAATACACTGTAGCAACAATGTAGAAGAACAATCACAATCGAGGAGCTTTGTGGAGAATGTGCAGTCTGCGCGGCTAGGCTGGCGCTGGCAAAGAGCTCAGGCCATTGCGTAGGAAATTTCACCCACCACAAGGTTCCCTTGCACTCACTGCTGCCTGCCCATGAAGCTCCCTGAAGCCTTCTTTCAATAGGGTAAAGGAAAAATGATCAAATTTATGCATTTAATAGATGAAATATTGTTGTCTTCTGTAACAATGAAAGAAATTATGAGACTCTTAATGGCTGTGTGAATCCTGCTTGTGAGAGAGGTACACAGACCTCAGGAAACTTAGAATAAGGTGTGATTTAATGTAAAGCTTTTGAGAAGGAAAAACGGTAACGGGAGTCAATGACTGATGGTCAGCCTTTGAATCACCTGAATTGTATCCCTATTTTAAATTGGAAGGAAGGATTTCCACAGAGTGAGTTTATGGATAAAGGAAGGGGCAAAATCTGGCTTTTGCTCTAACATTAAAGTAGTACGCAGGTAATGTTTATGTCAGGGTTTTTCACCAGCTGATTTTGGCACCATTATTGCTTTGTTCTTTCATCCCACAAATGTCACTTCTACTGCTGGCAGAAATATCAGGGACCTATGTGAATGGGGCCGATGTTCTCTCACTGCAAATGTACTCAGGGTATTGGTAAACATGACTGGAGCTTTGTCACTGCAGCCGTGTCCCAGGATGTGCTAGAGTGCTACATTTGGGTCTCTCCAAAAATAAGAACATCATGCGCTGAGAAAAACCCTATTTTCAAGTTGGTAGTTAGGTTCAAATCAGCTTGGAGCAGACATTGCACCTGCCTGTCTATGTGCAACCTTAATTTTTCGCTTTGTTGGATTTGGTGAGGACTCAGGCTGTTGTCTGGGTTAACGCTGCTGGGAGGAGGCTCACAGACACTGTAGAGGTGTGAGCTTTACTTCTTGTGGGGTAGAGAGTCCTGAAGTTAAGAGACTTTCTTGTATCAGCTTTGATTGCTTTTGAATTGACGTTGTGGAATACTTACACTAAATGGCTTTTGCAGGCACTTACTGCATCAGAAGCTGCCGGTTCCTGAGCAGGCTCACAGCGTGGTCAGTCCAGCAAGCTGCTCTCACCAAAAGAGCCCCCCACCTTTTTTAGATACAGGTTCCACGGGCAGATGCTCCTTGTGATCAAATCTGCTGCCTAGAGGAGCAAGTTTGAAATCAGGTGACAGCTGAAGCCCTGGCTGTTTAAGGTAGAACATAGGTCTGTTTGCTTGGTTTAGGCCATAGCCTAGCAGACACTTCAGCATGCTTTTAATTTACAACAGAGCTATTGCTAGATTAATTCTGGTCTGTGTCCACTCTCTGTCGTCCTGTGGGTGGACCGTGTGGGCTCCACAGGTGCTCAAGCGAGTTGTGGACAGGCTGTGGACCTGGACGCACTACGGCCACATTTCCACGGTACCATGCTGCCTGGGTTCGGCTGGTTAACATGCAGCGCAGCCGCCTGCGTCACTGACCTGTCTTTTCTCCATCATACTGCCAGTCTCCTTCATCCCATATGTGCCTTCAGTCTAATTTATATACTCTTGATACTATCTGTGGGTTTTGGATTTTCCGAACTACTTTCAGCTCAATTATGGGAAAGTTGACTGTAAACAGCGAAGTTGAACATAATACAATATGTATATTCAGATTCTTTGAAACCTAAGGTCAGGAGTGTACACAAATGCCCTGCTCATTTGTGGCTATTTGGCATTAGGGTCTATTTGACAGGAAAGATTAAACACTGGGCAAAAGTGACAAAAATATAACTCACTTTCTGTGGTGCACTTGCTATATACATTCTCATGAAAAACTGAAATACAAGTTAAATACATACTTATTTTATTCCAGGCTATAGAATAAGTGTATTTAGGCAGTTTTTCAAAGTGTATTGTACACTGCATGCACAATAAATCAGTTTAATAGCTTGACTGTTTTACAATTTGTGTTCAAAGAACTGTATGATAGGCAATGAGATCATGTTACGGTATGACTTGTTGTCCACTTGGACCACATCCATTTTTTCATTAAAAAAAAATTTGGGAAACCAAACTGATAGATGAAACGTATATTAAACATCGTAATATGCGCATATGCTCCAAGAAAGAAACTTCACATCTTATGTTCAAGTTTTAAATCCCTCCAAATAGAGGATTTAAGACAAGAAATTCTGAACGTGATTTCATTGCAGTATTACACTGAAGATCGGTGTAATATTTTTCAAAATGATGTAACAGTTTCCAAATACAGATTTTGGAATCTTATGCTAGAAATCAAGATAATATTTTAGGGCCCGCACACTTCGCTTTAAAACTGTCCTTGAAAGGATGGCTTGTCTATGTTGACAAGAACTTCTGCCTGTGTGAAGCATCTTATAAAGATAGCTTATGACTAGCAGGTCACCATCAAATAGTAACAGTAAGAATATTCAAGTCTACATTTGTAAAGACTTATGCATGCAGTTTTGTCTCTTACACATTGTTTAGGTGTGTGGACTACATGTATTGTGCCTCAAACAACAACAAACTTGAAATTGCACTATGTAAATATATACATATATGATGCTGTATATGTTTAGTACCACAGAAATATAAGTGTAATCAAATGATACTAGACATATGTAGGTCCATAGTTAAATTCCAATTAAGAAACAAAGCAGAAAAATTCATTTTTTTCTAACAGTATTTCACAGTAGAAGGAGGCAGTCCTTTCTCACTGAATTTTCCCCCCTCAGGATTTGTAAACATCATAGCTATTATTCTATCAGTATAATAATTGAATATTTTATTCATAGTGGTAAGTAGCTAACCAACATGAATAAAGTTGTCATAACACAGTAACACTTTCAGACAAAACAGGTATTTATTAAAAGAAACATTTATAAATATTTTGTCTTGCATTTTAAACTACATTTTCATAAATAACAATATTTAAAAGTGCTGAATATGGTAGGATAGTCAGCAACGCCACTGTAAACAAATCTGTTTTCCACTTTGCAGATTTTTTTTTTTAGATCCCATTTTGTCAAACACTACAACAGTTAAAATATTTGCATAGGGAATAGAGAATAGCCCTTTTAATAATCTCCTGAATTCTATATAAATTACAAAACCAAATGAGTTTAAGAAACAGTTCGTTAAATTGTTCGTATATATATCTCCAAAAAAAGCACACAAGTTTCAAGTAAAAAGAATGATTAAAAAAATTCCCCAGACTTGCTATTTGAAGCATGTTCAATAAATTAAAAAAATGAGAGGTAGTAAAACAAAGGAAAAAAATAAGCCCCAGAAGATAAACTAAGACCTACGTCCTACCAGTTACTGTATAGCAGCAGACCCGCCTCAGCAGCAGCAGCGGCTGCAGCAAGAGCCGGCACTGGAGGCTGCCTGCAAGGAGTAACTGGGTGGTTGGAGCCAAGTGAGTTGGGGCTAGATTCCACTCAAGGACACAACTGCCAGACCTTCTAGTCCCATCGAAAGCAGTGGGCTTATGCCACGTTTAGTCCTATGTAAGTGAGAAGAACCTTGCCTCTTAAGCCTTAGTATAAGACCAGAGTCATCAGTATTAAATATATATATACACATACATACAGAGATATATATATATATATTTAACAAGTATTCAAAGCCATTTCTTGGTATATCTTTAGCAGTTTGCGACGGATGCTAACGCTCATTTTGCTTGTATATGGTAGGTATGAAGATGGGGTTTTTTTAAGTTCCAAGTCACTGTCTCTTTAAACATCAAAATGCATCCTAAAATTGGACATTTTTTGATACAAAGGCCAAGCAAACACCTATTAAAAACACCATGGCAGCCAAGTGATGGGAATACCATGCTGCCTTAGCTCTGGTTAAGGGCTCAGTACAAGATTCTTTACCCAGGAAAGACACCCGTTGCGTTTCCTAGGTATGTTGCTTGGGTAAGGACCATAGGTTTAGGAGCCCTTGAAGTTTGGTTTAATATTACTCTCCAAACCCCTTGTTTTCAAGGAGTTACTCAAAATCAATGAGGCTAGAAGCTAAGATAAGTCTTCTTCAACCCACCACCTCGTAAAACATTACTTTGTTTAAAAACATTTTTACTGGATTCACCTTTCAAAAAAAAAAATCTTACAGAACAGGTGCAGTTCATCAAAATGTTCTAAAATGCTCTAAAATGCTACATGTAGGCAATCTTTTATTAAATTTCTTTATTCAAAAAACTAAATTATCAAGCTTTTTGTTGTTTTTTTTTTGTTTGTTTTTGTTTTTGTTGTTTTTTTTTTGCTGAAGTACATAACATTATACAACAGTGTTAGAACTGGATAGCCAGTCTTTAATAAATCAATTACAGTATCTGACATCTGAAATGTACATTGAAAATCTTTGTTCTTTTAACAATTAAACAATATCAGCGCATAGATTGTGTCACCCAGATACGGATCCCTTTAAGTGGTTTGTGCTTTTTTTTTTTTTCTTCTTTTTTTTTTTTTTTTTTTTTTTTTTTTTTTTTTTTTCTTTTTTTGACATTGCAAACTCTGTAATGAAAATGCCACAGTTTTGGCAGTGAACAACCAGAGGAATCCTCCGCTTGATTTATTTTAAATAAACAGTGATAAATAGCTCTTTTTTTCTGTACAGAAATATTGGCTTCAAAAAGTCAGTGTATTGTACTCAGTAGAGCATGTTGAGTAATGCTACACCTTAAAAATTGGCTTTTTTCAGTTACTGATGTTAAAAAATGCAAGCCTCTCTGGTTTGCTGCAATTGTTTCTATGTACCATAAGACTGTATTGCACAAAAAAAGTCCTTAAATACAGAGATAATTTATGTTATTGGATTAAATATTGCAACAACTAAGTGGTAAGTGAAGCAGTTTTACCTTGCACATGCAGTGTGAGGATACACAAGGAGACTGTTCATAAAACTACAAATACATCATTGCAATCTTGACTGCAGTAGGGTGAAAGGAGTGTGAAACAAATGTATTTTGGCAAATCCATTGTTCCCCTCCCACGCCATCTCGAGCAAGGAGGACCTTGGTAAAAATGTAGACAGAGACCGTAATATGTATTTGTTTTCTTCACAGTAGCCTGAGAGTGCTAAACTGTAGTTCTCCAGGAACCCAGCTCCAGATGTTATTAAACTACTTTTCTTCCATCCCACCCACCCCCAAAAAATCAAGTTATTTTGTTTGTAAATTAAAAATTAAGTTTCAGAAGTAGAGCCTGTAATACTTTCAACAAGAGACTTATAAATCTGAGAGTTCAAAAACCTTGGAAAAGAGTCTCTGTGCATTAGGGTGTATATCTGGAGTTGGGCATCTTCATACATGTGTGGGCTGGGATCCAACAAATTTCTGTTGATCACTTCTCTCACCCGGGAATCAAGACTAACCTGAAGAAGATGAGAACAGACTAATATTAAACAGTAATATCGGAAGGGCTGTTATGCCTATCTTTATTTCTCAGGGCCCCGTTGAACATGCCGAGTTTATCAGTTTATTCAAGTAATGCTCTGTGCTTATTTCAGAGCCACCACACAATTAGACTGAGACCATCAACTCTATTTTGGTTTTGCCTTGGTCTTTGCATGCATCTTAAAATCCGTAAGATGAAATGCAGCTGTATAACAGAATAAATACAGTGCAACTAAATAAACCTCTGCAGTAGCCTGTATTTCCCAAAATATGTTATTTCACCTTCAAATTTTTTTTTTTCCACATTTAAGATTATTTCTCTGAAATGAATGATAAATGATGCTCATTCAGAGAGCTGGAATATTTTTTTTTTTCCTGACTGTTTGTGGTTAAAGCTTTAGAAGCTTTCTATTCAGCATTCTCATCTGTTTCCCCTACAGATTTTTTTCCCTGTTTTTTTCAGGCACTACACTTGTTACTAACAAAATTATCATTTTTATCATGTTAATCTCCCCATTAATATTAAGTATTTCAGATTTGTTCTTCTTTTCAAGACTCTCTAAGATCTGGTAATTTATACTTTCAGGACACCATATGTCCATATTGAAGCTGTTAGCAAGTTTCAATTTTAGCTTCTCATTTACTTTCCATTTGTAATGAACTCCTGTGCCTAGGCAGAAAAGGGCATATTATGCTTGGGATGAATGCATAGATGATTTTAGAATATAATTTAAAAATCTGAGTGAATGTACAGCTTATCTGCAACATTCTCTAAAAACAGTAAAGCTCATGCCTTCTGGATTAAATGAAACGGCAGTAGCAGGAAAGCCCACCTGGGCCAGCAAGGGTTTACTCAGCTAAGAAGAAAAAAGGCTGAAACATTGAGTAAAGAAATATCTGATTTACACCAGGTTGCAATCTGACCCACTACTCTGCAACCATATAAATAGGTATTAATATTGTCTGAAGGATTGAGTTCAACCCTGGAAAGCTCCACGTACCAAGATACCTTGATATGTGAAGGATGCTAACTGAGATGAAAACTCAGACCATGTGTGGATGTGCGAGGTTGTGTGTTTTCATATGTGGTGTAGCAAAGTCTTTGGAATACAGTGGTATGGTATTGAGGAGTAAACATACATTTTCATTATATCTTGAGCACCAACTGTAGAATCTGGCATTATTGGTTTGTTGGCATGTTGGAGTACGTTACTGCCACAGCAGGCAAGCTCTTTGTCCTCCAGTATTTGCTGTTACTTGGTTATTGGCCACAAGGCACAACTGCGATGCAGCCTAACTGCGAGTAAACTGTTGCCTATTCGTGGTACCAAACCGTACCTACTACGCAAGCACGCCGTCTCTTCAGAGCATCCGTTACGCCTGCTTAATGCACGCGCCCCGTCTAAGCGCTCATTGCTACGCCTGCACGCAGCCCGCCGGGCGCAGCAGGTGTCCCTGCTGCACACCTCCCTTTCGGGTGGGCAGCGGTGCTGCACCTGCTGCCGCCACGAACAGCCTCCCACCCCCTCCCACCCTGGGAGTGCTGGTATGGCCGTCTGGGCAGCCCCACAGCTCGCGGAGTCAAGGAATCGATCCATCTGAAAGTGACATTTCTCTCCTGGGCTGTTTTTCAGCCCAGGCATTTTTCTGATGGAATCCATTGTCTAACTAACGTAGCTGTGCCAGCAGACCGGACTGCA